TGCCTCTTGTGGCTGGCTGGACGCCTTCAACTAAGAAGAGTTTTGAAATTGAGCATTTGACTAAATTTTCTAGACTAGGCTGATACTCTTCAATAGTACCATCACTTAATGGTGGTTATTTTACTTGTATTTATTAAAACTATTTTAAAATATGCATGAAAGCTGTTGGTGACATTAGATGTTGCTATAATACAGAATACTTGTATTTTCTTAATGTTTTTAAAATGTCATTAGTACTGTATTATAGAAGAGATGACCCAACAGAAGAGCTTCTTTACTATATTTTCTACATCCCATGTGACAATGGCACAGTAACTTAGAAGCTAAAATACTAGATTTTTTTCTAGTTGGTTACTGTTGAATTGTTTTTTTCTATGATAATCTAACTTTAAAATATGTTCACTTCTGCAGGAGGCAGTGGATCGCTGTGGAGTGTGTTTCCTTTCTTCCCTGTTTGGTTGCAGAAAGAAGGCGCCAAAAGCCAAGTATATGCATCTAGCTCAGGAACTGATGGTTGATCCAGAATGGCCACCAAAACCCAGAACAACAACGGAAGCTAAAGTACCATCCCAAGAAAATGGTTCATATCAAATCATCACTTTAACGTAACAGTGGATCTTGGTGGCATGTATCTTTGTAGTATTGAGAAGAATGTAATTTTAAAGCTTTATTTGAAAACGCTGTATACTAAATGTCAAGTTCTAATGCAGATTTTTCCAACTGTTACATCTCTCTGAATACAAAGTTCAGAGCCAGACATCTTACGAATATACATTTTAAAAATGTAGGTTACTATAGGCAGAAAAAAAAAAGATTGTGTTTCCTTCCACCTTTCAAATTTCATTATTCTTAAACAAGATGCATCTGAAGATTTAAACTGCGGGGCAGTTAAAAGGTTCACGTTATTTGCCTGGAGTATCTTAACCATGGTTCTAACTTGCTTACCGGGGCACGTGTTAATATAAGGTCTATAATGTAATGGTTTCATGATAGTACTAGAGGCACATAATAACCAAAACTTTGTCATACATTTTGTTTTGGTTTGTTTTCTCTTTAATATTCACTGCTGAAAGACTTTGTGCCTCAGAACGGTTCGAAAGTTTTGGTGTGTGTACCTCTAAATTTGTCCGTACTAGTAAGGAGTGTTTCCAGGTATAATGTTTGGATTTTAGTACTTCAGTCTGCCACAGCAGGAACTGGAAATGCTGTAGAAGCAATACGCCCCATCCTTAAGAAGAAAGCACATTGCTTTCAAGTGGGTTCTTAGCTGCTTTTCTAGCTAAACCTGAGGAAGGGCTTCAGTGAACTTCAGAGGAGGAGGCATTTGGCTACACTCTTAAAATTGTTGGAGAAGGAAGGCTGGAGAATCTAACACTTCATTCTGTATCACGTTTTATTACATTTAGCTATGCATTTCTCCACAGACCTTGCTTTTGCCAGCAGAAGGGCTGGTTTATCACTTTGTGGACCATGTTTTATTTGTAAATCTTAAGGTAGTTTTCCTATATTCCTTAAAGGAGTAAGGCCAGAGTTACTGCTGCGGGTGGGGTGGGAGGTGGGTGGGAGGAATATTTCCACATGCCCGTGCTTGGGATTTGTGCATGTTGAGAACATCTGCATTTCAAAGAGTCTGCTAGTGTCTTAAGTACTATATGTAGCTGTACAAAACAAAACTAAGAAACAATAGATGAGCTAAAGTCTGTCTTGCTGCAGAGCTATAAGGCTTATGTGGACATTATTTTCAAAAAAAAAAAGAAAAAGAAAAACAAAAACACACAGACACAAAATTGTATCACTAAGAATGCTGCTTAAGCACTTTGGATAGCGATACATTATTTTGCCATTAGGTGGTGTTAAAACACAAGACCACTAGAAAAATAGGTCTGCAGCGATGTAGAACAAGGCATTGTCTTTACATGCAAAGTTCTTAAGTCTTTTTCCATTTCCTTTTTTTTTTTTTTTCCCAAAACCACAAATTACGTATCTCCAAACCATCTTCAACTTACTAAACTTTCAGAAAAATCTTCTTTGGTGTCTTTGGGAAGATGATAAAAAATACTGACTTCTGATCAGTCTGTTCTGACCAGATAAAACTGACTGGTTCAGTCTTCAGTAACATTTGGGAAGGGATCTCGGATCCAGATGAGTCATGATACTTTAGAGACACTTTAAGGAAAGAAATTGGGTCCTTGAGAGCACTCGTGTAAAGAGTGGAAGGAGGGCCCTGAGCTCCCTGACTGGCTGGGATTAATTTGAATTGTGTGTATTTGGATTATGTATTTATGTATTTTTTTAAAATTCCTGTGGAAATAATTCCTTTCCAGAATTGTTCTCATAAGTGGAATTTTACAGGTCAAGCCTAATTTCCATGTGTTTTTCTGTAAGACAGAATAGGCAGCATCTCCCACTGCTCATGTTATGGTTTCTGCAGTGTTGAACATGCTGTGCCAGTGGGGAATTTAAAGTGGTGCTACATGGTTTGGAAGACTTCTTTTCTGGAACTTGGGGGTTTAAGTTATTAGCACTTGCTGCTCATAAATAGTGTGCTTATGTGCTATCCTCCAGTCCAGCTGTTGACTCTTCCTGATTTTTTGTTGTTGTTTGTTTTCTCGGGGGTGGAATAGGAAGAAAGGGGAAGTGCTTTTTTTAGCATTCATTCAGCAGAGCGATGTACAAGCCTTGTTAGCCTGGCTTCTCAGGGTTATTAACTTCGGACAGCATTGGTAGCTTTTAAGGGGTCTGAGATCATGGACTTGGATAAATTTGTTAATCATGAACTTGAGTCAGCTGGCTGATTTTTGTCAGTGTTGATTTTATGAAATATTTGTAGCATGGAATAATTGATGAAGAATTCTTGGCTGCGTAAGTAGTATTCAAATTTAAAGAAAAATAATACTTTAATTGAAAACTCTTGTGAAGCTATGCATCTTGGACCTGGGAGCTGTGACTTATCCTTAAATGCATAAGGTGTTTGTTTTTTTTCCATTTCATTTCATTGATCATTATAGCTTGGTTGTTCCAACAGAAAGTGAAAGAAAAAAAAACTTTCCCTCTAATATGCTTTTGCTTAATGTCTTCTTTGAACTGCTAATTTCTCTCAGCTCATTTGGTTTTTGCAACTAATCTTTCAATCATTCTAATTCATTAGACTTATCTACAGGGTGAAGAGGGAACAGCTTATTAATACTTAAGGTGGGCTTGTCTTCAGAGAACATGTTAGGGCACTCATTTTAAAACCAAAATTGCCAAGTGTCTCCACTTGTTTGAGTGGTTAATAGGTCATGAACTTATTAAACTTGAAAATTTTGCAAATGGGAGTTAGCTTCCTCAAGGTTTGCATTCAGAATTCGTAAAAAGTTCTTGAGGTTGCGTGCTTGAGCTGTTACCTATTTGCTTCTGACGTTTAGTCAAGCATAATAAATCAGCTTTTCCAAGGGTTTTTCTTCTTGTTGTAAGTTCAGCCACAAAATGAGCTTTTGCATCTTCTGCAATTTCTGGGATTGATGCCTTCCTGCCCAAGAGCTGAGTTTGGCCACCTATAATTTTTCTCATTTTGAGCAATTTAGTTTTTCTGGTTTTCAGAAATGCAACAAACTAGATCTGAAGTAGCATATTCAGTTTCTGCTTTGAAGTAAGATGAAATTCATATTGTAGTGAAAAATCTCTTCACGTGTTCATCTTGGATGTCTGAATTCAGGTGAACAGACCAATTTAGTGAGCTCCACTAGATACTTGGTAGACATTTTTCTTCCTGCTGTATATTTTGGCCTTATGTTGAGGAGTTTGATTTATTAAATTATTTGTGTATGCAGACTTCAATCTGTACGTATTTTACTTTGGTGTATTAGGATTTGTAAATATTTTTTTAAAAAAGTAAATATTATTTATGCACATACCTAAAGGACTGGTCTACCCAGCAAAGCAATTGCTAAATAATAAATGTTACTTTTTAGAAGTAAATTGCAAGATCATTAAATTGTATATCCCTCAGGGTTATTTTTAATTTTTTTTTTCTGTTCCCTTCAGATTTAACTAGCAGTAACTAGTTTCATGTAATATAGAACTAAATCTACTGTAAAAAGAAAATGCTGCAAATAATGCTTGAATAGAAATGGCTAAAACACCCACAGAACTGACTGGCCATATTCATCGTAACTTTAAATTTGGAAGTTTTACTGTTGCACTTTTTAGAAGTTGTTGGATTTTTAATTCTATTTATTTTTTCTGTCTTCATGAAGGTTGTGCTGAACAGTCATCCCAAATTGGGTAAAAAAAAAAAAAAAAGAAATCCTGTACTGTATCTGTGTATACAGTATAATACTTAGCAGATGTGGAGTCCTTTTTTATGCTGCAAATTTTTAATGCTTATGTTGGTCATCACAAATTGCGAGAGCTAAAGTTCTGTAGGATTTCTCCCGTGAAATTCTGAATTGTAAACTTAGGTTTTTGTATGTCTAAGGGAAAGCTGTGGGTTTTTGACAATTTTTAAGAGTCTTGAATATGTTGATTTTATACAGTAAAGCTTCAGGTTTTTAAAGCTATTTTCAACAGACTGCATCATCTTTGATAATTATGTGAACGAGAAACTACTCAGTTTGTCGTGAATTTCTGAAGCCGAACACAGATAAAAAGATTCACTGTTACAGTGCTCTCTAGAAGCTCAGCTTTGTTTTTATTTTTAAATCTGAACTGATACAACATCTTTGTATTTAAACTATGTATTGCTGCTCTAGAATGGTACCCTGTTGTCAAGAAGCATACATAAAGAACTGTACAATAGAATTGTAAATACCATTGTAAATCATTTTTGTGACTGAAGCTCTTTGAAAATAAAATTAAAATGAAAAGATATTTTAACTCTTTTCATTAGTTTCATGAAATTGTTTTTAATTACTCTTACACAATAAGATCTACTCCAGAGCTTGCTGAAGAACATCAGCTTACTCCCGCTGATGTCATTGTGTTGCTCAGTGCCTCTATTTTTGAAGATGGGGGTGGCGATGTATGTATGCCATGTGTTAGTGGTGCATGTGGGAGCACTGCTCTTCTGCCATACAGTAATAGCAGCCTTAACTTCACCTGCTGCCTTACAAAAGAAATTTTAAAGCCAGACCTTTTACACGTTAGAGACTTGTTCCTACCTTCTGCCATCCGGATAGTCTTTCTGTTCTTTGATACCTGGGAAGCATTATCTTGCAAAGACACTTAAGTGAATGATCCTGGGTGTGAGCAGTCGCTGTTGTCACAGTCATCTTCACAAAAATGCACAGAAATAAAGACATCTTTTCCATTTTGCAGCTTACCTTTGTTTAAGCACTTATTATTTTCAACATTATTTTCAACTTGAAGACAAGGTGTTTGAAATGCCTGGTTAACAAATCACTTAATTACAAAACCTGAATCTTCCAATTTAAAGCTAAGATTTTGGTAACTTAAAACTTTTCTCTCTTCAGAGTCCTTCAGACTTTAGGTTTTGTTGGTCTGTGACTGCAGAAGAATTGAGGGAAAAACAGAAATCAAGCGGGTCAACCCTGGACTACCTGGCCAGAGCATTCAGTAAAAAACTTCATTCCTTCCTCAAATTGTTTTGATTCCAATCCTGCATGAAGGGGAAAGAGCAGCCTTGTGAAGGTACATATCAATTGCACTTTATAGTTTAAAATTAATGTGTCCACTCCTATGACATCTGTCTGCGTAGCACACTGCTACACATTTGGAATTTCTTACCAGCCATAGTTCATGCTGAAATACAGATTTCTGACTCTTAACCAGATCTGCGTTGTGCTAGTTGAGGTAGGTACTCTACTCTCACTGCCGAAGAAGCTACAAGCATCTTGTGCTGTTGCATTTGTTGAGATTTCAGATTTTCTCCTGTTTTGTAGTGGTCTCAAACTCTAATTTAGGAGTTGCGTACAACACAACCTATGGGAACTAGCTGCTCCCACAGCTGAGCATAGGCAAAATCTGCTCTGAAGCTTGTAATGTTCTTTGGCTGTTCATGGTAGTTACCCAAATATGAGTGAAGTGCTGTTATCTAGAGGATGCGTTTTGCTGTTTTACTTCCCATTTAAAGTGCAGAATCATGGTGAAGCCCAACTGCCTGCTATGCTTCTGAGAAGTTCCTCTGAAAAGCAGATAAGTTTCTAAGGTGCAAAGGTTCAAAACCATTCTTACAAGCTTTCACATTCATCTGAACATGAAAAAGGAAATTAGACATCATGTTACATTTCTAAATTATTACGCGTGGTGGCAATTACTTGGTGAGGTGAGATTCCAAGAATGTCTTGAAGATTGTTTAATGTGGAAAAATACTTTGGAAGTGTGAAATCTTCAGGTTTTTTTTTGTTGTTGTTGTTTTTGTGTTTTTTTTTTTTTTATTTTCCTGACTTACTGCATCATTTGAAGAGGTCTAGAAAGCCCAGTGAGAGCTAGCTTTGCAGCACCGTGCTGCCAGCTGTTGATATCACTTGGTGCCATGTCCTCTCCTTCCCTGGGAAGGGATGCTGATTTTACCAGTCTTCAGTTCCCTGAATCTAACAAAAAAAAAAAAAAAGCAACAGGAAGTATTATTATTGAGGCAGCAGCTGTTTTTGATCCATGGCTGTATGCTCTTGTCAGCAGTTCAGACACAGGAGCTCAGCTATCCCACCTGACTTTATTTTTCTTTAAGCGATCAGCTTTGTACATGTCTCTCAGGTTCATCCATGACCCTAGAAAAGGGTATGCTGGGATGGAGGCCTCCTCTCTCCCGGTGTTCCCAGTGCTGAAGACTGGCACAGTTTCAGCAATTCCAGTTATATCTACAGCAGTCCCAGTTGCTGCTTCTCCCGCAGATCAGCCATTTCCTTGACTTTCAGGTTTCTGATGCATTTGTACTTGCTGATTCCACTAAGTGGGGGCAGTTCTAAAGTAATTCTAAACTGTGAAGGATTTCTGTTTGACTTGGTCTTTGAAATATTATCATTACAGCTACAATGTTTAAATGATTGCTTTCCTGTTCCTTGTTTGTTTGGGAATATGTGCAGATTTCAGACTGCGGGGTATGTTTCATGCAGATGCACCTTTACTGGTGCAGCTTCCTAGCTAGCATCATAACAATTTGTTCCTCTCACTTCGTTTCATTATTTCTAATACTTCTGATAATTTAGTGTTGTGTTAGGTTGTAGAGATGAGACTCGTTCATTGTTAGAGGCTCACTGCTGTCCTTTAGTGGATGAGCTCTTGGGTGTTTTTTCAGGCTACATCAAAAATAGTCTGCTGCTTCTTGTGTGTTCTTGAGCTTTTCCAAGAAGTGATCTCGTACAAATGCTGAGAAATGGTCTAGCAGAATTGTGTGGCGTTACTTAAAATATCACAGGAGCTGCAGGATGCCCTTTTTACCTCCATTATCTATTTTTGCAGGCTAAACTTTATTTTTAAATTTTAGATAACCTACAAGGAAAATATTGTTGGTGTGGGACCTTCTGATCTTTTAAGATTTTCTGTGTATAAAAGCGTAGTGCTTTTCTGTTCAAATAAATACACGCCTTTGGATTACTTAAGCGGTTCCATTTTGATTTTCATACACTTTAATTATACTTGACTAGTACAAATATTAATGGAGAGTACTTGATTTACAATAGGGCTTTGTCTCTACTGTCCATGTAAGCTGAGCGCCTTAGAAATATTTGCAGTCAGCAGCAATAGATTTTTGAAGTTTGTTCTCAAGCCAAGAGAGATTTCATATGTATTTCCACATTTCATGGTATCTTCACACAGTTTTGTCTGCTAAGTTATTAACTACCTGTGATCAAATCCTGACGCTCTCTTATCTCTTGTAACAGCTAATGTTTCTGGTGCTTCAGCAAGGATGTTGATGTTTCATTTGTCAGTGATGATCAAGCTTTTCTTCCAGCTGGATGCATCTGTTTGTCCTGAGAAATGTGACTGCTCTTTCAAAAACGCAATTCATTGCTCTGGCCCTCACATAAAAGACCTGGAATCATTAAATCTGCCTTGCAACGTGACAGAAATTCACATAACAAACACTAATGTAACACACTTGCAGGATGTTTTTTCTAGGATGGTAGCGCTGCAGCATCTCATCTTATCTTCAAACAACATCACTCTCATTTCACCAGTGGCTTTTAAAGGCTTGAGAGGGCTGAAAGCCCTCAGACTCGTAGATAACAAGCTGGTTGAACTTCCTCCGGAAGTGTTTGATGACACGGTACACCTTCGGCAATTGATCATTAAAAATAACAGGCTGAAATCCATCAAAGAGAATCTGTTTGACAGACTAGCCAGTTTGGAGGAGCTTTTCCTGAACAAAAACCAACTAACAGCACTTCCTAGTGGCGTGCTGAAGAACCTTGCCAAACTCAAAGTACTGAACTTGTCAAGAAACTTTTTGGCAGTACTGCCTAGAAATATATTTAGTGCATTAACCAGGCTTGAGAAGCTGATACTGTATTTTAACAGGCTCTCTTCAATAGAGTCTGGTTTGTTTGACAGCCTGAGGGAACTGCTGGAGCTCTTCCTGCATTCCAATAACATCCAGTCCATCGCCCCTGATGCATTTCATCGGCTTCAGAAGCTTAGGAGACTAACACTCTCCAGAAACAACCTCGAGGTTTTGCCTCCCGGGCTCTTTCTGCACTTGCATAACCTGTCTAAATTGACCTTGTACAGGAACCCACTGAAGTCTCTTCCAGAAGTATTGTTTGGAGAGATGAGGAATCTTGGTAGCCTGTGGCTGTATCACACACAGCTCTCAACGATACCAGATTTCGTGTTCAGTAACTTGACAAACTTAGAGCTTCTCGTGCTGAGTTTTAATCCAGAGCTCTGTGTTCTCCCTAGGAATGCATTCAGTGGTCTGAAAGAACTGCGGGGCCTTTCTCTGCATACAAATAATATTTCCAGTCTGCCAGAGGGTATCTTCCTGGGCCTCCAGAAACTGCAGAACATTTCCCTTTTTGATTCCAGGCTTGAGTTTCTTCCGAGAAACCTCTTTCATAATCTCAAGCACCTTCAGAAAGTTTACCTCAATAGCACCAAGCTGCGGTCTCTTCCTGGAGATTTCTTTCTCACCTTACCTGAGCTGCAAGAAGTATTCCTTGATGGCAACCCTTGGAGATGTGACTGCCAGATTCTTGGCTTCCAAGAGTGGCTCCAGAAGAGCAAGGAGATAGTGAAAGAAGTGCAATCCCTAGTGTGTGACAGCCCGCTCTCCCTAAGGAACATCTCTCTGGTGGCTCTAACAGATCAGCACCTGCAGTGCCCGCCAGCCACAGCCACTGCATACCAGACATTCAGGTCAACTTACTCCCAGACCGTGACTTCTCTTGTGACAGAGCACTTGAAATCATCCTGGAAGACAACCCCAACAGCAGTGTCCAACATGGATACCAGCACACCCACATCAATTCCTCTTGCAACTCCAGGTTTTACCTATTCACAGGCTCCAGGTGTTGAACAGTTAGGCTTTCATGCCTCAGATGTTCCAGCCCGAACTTCTCCCAGCACCGTAGTAGAAACCAACAGTGTCAGAGGAACAGATTTAACCACTCTTGCCTGGTGGGATGAGTTGCCAGCCCGCAAGAGTGTTGAGCCACTTATTAACAGCAGGGTTGTCTATTGTCGGCTATTCTTCTGCCTTCACAGTTTGGTTTTAGCACTCCAGACTGTCATCATTGTGCTCATTCTTTGTGTGGTGGGCAAAATCAGGCAACTCTTCCACTCCAGAAAGGTTCCTGCTCAGCCTGTAGTTCTGATACGTTTTCTAAAAAGATAGAGGGTACCAGCCATAGAGAGGGTTAGGAGCATTGCTCTGTTCAATTTGAGTGTTCAGGCGGTTCACGTTTGGTTCAGATATGGATTACAAATCTTTACAGCAAGAACCATATATGCTGTGTCTGTAAAACATAATTAAAACGTGCTTTTATATACCTTACGGTGTTTGCCAAAACAGATTGTGATCCCTGAATGTTGCCACAGCACTTGGTGTACAAACTCAGAGGGAGAGCTGGCAGAAAAGCCGTGGTCACCTCTGTGTGGAGCTCAGGCCTTTGGTCAATGTGGTGCTGGCTTCCTGCAGCCCTGCCCCTGTCACGCACCCCTGCTTGTTGCTCTGCTCGTGCTGCTCCGATGGGAGAGGCGTTTCTGAGTGGCTGGCTTGCGGGAACAAGTTTCCATTTGGAAGAAAAAAATGGGATCAGCGTAGGGAGGCTTCCGTGGGAGCACTGCTGTAACTTGTTTAAAGGTTGCCTGTAGGACTCCAAATGCTGTTTCGCCTCTTACTGCCTGTAGTGGTTTCCCTTTCCTGAGAAAACAAATGGTATTTTGGGGACTACGTGCTGGAAAATAGCTTTCAAAAAGGGCAGGGGGAGGGAATGGAGGCGAGGGGGGAGCATGGTATGTCCTTGTTTTTGCTTTCTATTCTCAGCCCCTTTCCAGCATGTAGGAGGCAGAAGGTGATGTGCGTTACCATTCACAGCTGATAGTGTTTTCCTCTTTCTTAGTCAGAGGAAGCTAAGAAAGATGTTGGTCTAGAAGTATAACCTTGGTGAATTCTGTTGTTGATTGGTTTTGAAACTTTGTACCATTACTACAAATCTGAATTTTAAGTAAATGCCTTCATCCTTAAATTCTGACCAGAGGCTTGAAAACGCCTGTCTGACTGCAGCAGGCAGTAGCTGTGGCTTTGTCTCTCTGCAGAGAGTCAGAAGCGAGCTGTGCTTCGTCAGAGGCACCCGGCGTGCAGGCGTGAGAAAGGCGTGCTCAGTCCCAGGGCTCTTTACACCTTCCTGGGACGCAGCCTTGTGCTCTGACTTCCAGCCCTTTCAAGTGTTTGATGTACAAAGGCAGCCACTAGACAACAGTGTGGGTTTTGGTCTTCTACTGAATTCCTGATGAATATCTCGAATGATATGAATATTCTAGGTTGTAAGTAGACTGGTAGCTGTCGGGTGGCGTGTGCTTCTTTGGTGGCTCTTAGGTTTAACTATAGGTTTTTATCTTAATTACATTACTTAGCTTGATCTTAAAAGCTCTGCCCTTGTGCTCAGAACCTAGGACTGGATTAAAGAGCCCCTGGACGTGGCTCCCTGCATTCTCAGGTATGAAACCCTGTTATCTAGGAGTCCTTTTGTAGCCTTGCTGATTTTTGAACTAAAGGCCTTTCCTGGGGTGTTAAATAGCAGTTGTCTTGCTTGCGAGGTCTAAAATTTAGCAGGCTGGGCAGTAGTTAAAGACATCTCTAAAGGAGGAGAAATGTGACTTAGTGCAGCCGGTGTGAAGCAGACGGGTAAGATTCATGAACAGAAGCCCCAGAATATTTTACTGCAATGTATTTAAATGGGAAGCACAAAAACAACATGAAAGCTTTGGGTGGCGGTTCTGGCTCGTTGCATGTTAGCACTTAAAAAGAGGTAATTAGTACAAATTTAGGTTCCTCTCGGACAACTGTAATGACCACTTAGCGTTCTGCCAGCTCCAGGGCTGTCATATGGGTGCCACGCAAGCATCTGCTTTCAGCAGGCAGGAGATAAGTGTAATCTGGGCTAGCGAAGAAATTGTACAAGCTGTGCTGGTCACCGCTTTCCTTGGCACGGTGCTGAAGGAATGGGCTCACAGCATAAGGCACTTGGATGCACGCTGGTTTGTAAGAAAAAGCGACAGTTTAATTGCTGTGTTGACATACAGCAGGCTCTCTGCATGTCCAATCTGTCCTGCGTGGGCAGGGTGCACAAGAGCAGCAGGTAAGGAGCAGCTCCCAGCTTTTTTGAGTCTTCACTTGGCTGCCCCAGCCCCAAAATGAGGCCAGCTCAGTCTCCTTTGGCTCACTTGCTGCAATCGCTCAGCTCTGGCACGTGGGGGCTTTGGCATGTTGCTGTGTACAGTCAGGCACTAAGAGGAGGATGATTTGTCTTTGCATGCTGTCATCGGGCTTTCCCCACTCTTGAGCCAGACAGGGGAAGTGAAGTCAGCAGACAACAAAAGGCTGGAGCAATACAACCTTGGGGTGTTTCACCAAGCCTTCCTTTCCCCCCTGTGACAGGGATGTCATGTTTTGTCCTGCTTCTGATTCACTGCTTGTTGCCCAGCATAGCTCAGCCCGTCCTGGAAATCTCCTCTGGCCTGGAAAATCCGAGGAAATCCTTATTTATGTCCCGTATCCGTCTAGCCTGGCGAAGGGACTCTCCTCCAGGTCAGCGTGACTGCGGGTGCGGCAGGAGGGCAGGCAGCAGCGAGGGCTCCTTGAGGGAAAAAATCACGAGGCAGGGCTTCCCTGAGCCTTCAGCTCCTGAGAGGGGGGACCAAAAGCTGAAGAGGTTTTTGGGACCCGATCTTCTCGCAGGCTGAGCACAGGTGGGGCCAGGCATGCCTGCACACCGCAGTGAGCCCCACGCCCCTGGCTGCGGTACAGGCAGGGGATGCAGAGCCATGGTTTACAGCTGTGCGTTAACCAGGCCTCCTCGTTCAGGAATCGCCTTGGGGTCTGAATCCTCACAGGCGTGCTTGGAGTACGTCAAGTGGGGCTGGTCCAAGGTTTTCTGTAACTCACTGTGAGGCTTTTTTTTCCAGTGGCTGCGGCTCCTGCTCTCTCCACGCCGCAGCAGCAGAGCGATGCAACATGCCTGCAGCGCGATGTCACCGCAGGTGCTGGTCTCTGCTCGTCGGGGCCGAGCCTGCTGCATCCCCTCCTAGCAGCCCCAGGGCCTAGAGCCCAGTCACTGTTGCCTTTCCTCTCCCTGTAACCTGCCTGGTTCCTGGCTGCTGTGTGCCACCCCGCGTCCCCTGGTGCCTTTGCCCTTCCCGTTTCGCTTCTGCCTCGTGAGCTCAGCCTGCTCGAGGGCTCTTCTCGCTGCTCACAGGAGGTGAGTGAGCTCAAGTGCCCTACTCGCTGCAGCTTGCTTGGGCAAGCACCCTGGTACAGGTTGTTCCCTTGGTGTATCTTCTCCCGTGCCAGCACACAGCCGCATGATCGGGGGCTGCGCTCACATCCCGCTCCTCCCTGTCCCGAGGGCAAGGAGAAGTTGGGTAGTGGCAAACACGCTCAGAGGCATTGGCTGCGCAGACACCCAGCAGCGCTCCCGAGTTCAAGAATTCGCACAAAAGCCAGCTGAGAGGCAGGAGCGCTGGGATCCTCTGGCTGACGTTAGAGAATTGGCTGTGTCCCTCCTCCAGGCCTTGGACCAGCGCATCTCGCCTGGGGGAGCTGATTCAGCAGCTGGGCGAGGGGAGCGCAGTGTTGCCTAGGGATTACAGAATCGCCGGGGAGGAGATGGGACCGAGGCTGTAAGCGCCAGTGTTTACAAACTCCCGAAGTGAGCTGGAGGCCTGAAGCTCCACCACAGAGGCGTACGAGCCCTGGGGGCAAATTGTCTGGTTGAGTTCGCAGCCCCTTGCTGGGCGTTCCCAGGCCCCTGAGCCCTCACCCAGCTGGGTGCCAGCTCTGTGGGGTGGGGGTCTCACAGCTGCACCAGGGGACATCCTGCCACCAGGCTCGGCCCCCCAGGAGCAATTGTTACTGTCCTCCTTCTCTGTGCCATGCCAGATGTCAGCTGTGCCTTTGTTTCTCTCTGAGACCCGCAGGGCCGGGAGCTGGGGCTTGCTGGGGCCTTCCCATGGCGGTGGGAGAGCAGGGGGGGCTGTAGGAGTGCCTGGGGCTCTGGCCTGGCCTCCCCCAGCTCCCGGCGCCCGCGCCGCCATCGGACAAGCTCTTTCCGCTTCGGATTATCGCTCCTCCGGGCGGCTTTGGCTGCAGGCCCCGCATTCCTTCCAGCCTAGCGCTGCCCTGGGCCGGGGCCAAGCCCTGCGTGCCGCTATCGCGGGGAGGAACCGGCCCCAGCGCTGCTGCGGTCCTGCCGGCCGGGCGAGCCCTGCTGGGGCTCATGTTTGTAAACGCTCACCTCAAGGGGTTTGCTGGCTCTCAGGCTGCTGCCTGGGTGGAAACAGCGAGCCTGAGGCCCACCTCGCTGCCCACCCAGGGGGAGGGATGCTGCTGGGTACCTCCTCTGCAGCCCTGCTCCTGAGCGCCCTGAAGGCAGGGTACGTGCCTGTCCCTCGAGGCGGCTGCAGTGGGATGTCCCGTACCATGAGCAGCACTGCGTGCCTCAGCCAGGCACCCAAAAATGTCCTGGGGCTGGATCCCTGGTCCTGTGGAGGAACTCTCTCGTTTGGGCTCTTAAAAGCGGTTTGTGTGTGTGCTGGGGAAGGGGCTGCTGGAGCCTTCCCGCTTGGGAAGGGCTCAGCGCAGTTTCTGAGGACCCAGTGCACTTCACCCCTCGGCCACGCTCCAGCCTACGTGAGCTGCAGCACGGCCAGGGCTGCCTGTCCTCCCGTGCTCTGGGCTGGAGCACGGCGGGGACCCTTCCCCTGGCCCACAGCCCAGCACTCAGCCCTCCTCCTCCTCCTCCTCTGCTTCACAGAGCAGGCCCTGGCCCCGTGCCCTCAGCCAGCCGCTCTGCGAGCACTTGGGGAGGAGGTGGGGGCTCCTCTGAGCACCACGGGTGGTTTGCAGGAGTACAAAATACCTGGGGGGGTCCGAGCCTCGTACTGTAGAGGGCAGGGGGGTCCAGAGATGCCCAATACAGGTTCCTGCTGGTCCCAGGGCTGCTCAGCAGGGAACCCCAGGAGCACATCCCTGCATCTCTCTGCTGCATGGGGGGACGCCAGGGCTGGGGGGGGACATGGCAATGGGGCCGGCCATGGGGTGGGGATGTGGCTGCCGGGCTGCACAGCAGTGCTGTGTGGGTGAGCACGCTCAGCTGTTTGGCAGATGAGTAATGCTCCTTTCTGGCCAAGCCCACAAGCTGCTAATTTTAGCGATTGCTTGATTTTTTCCAATCTGTCTCGAGTCCCTTGGTGATTCAGAGCCGCCCGGTTTTGTTGCGCCCGCAGCCCCGGCCGTGTGAATGTGCTGGGAGTGAGCCAGCACGGATGCAGCCGGGACTGTCCCGCTGTCCGGCTGCGAGGCACAAACCTACCCAGCTGTGGGTGATGCTGCTCTGCTGGGGCTTGGGGGTACCGGGAGAAAGGGGCTGCTTAGGGTGAGCTCCCCTTCCCTGCCTGCATCCCCTCCTCTCCTTGTGCATAGCCTGGGGCTGCCTGGTGAGGCTGGATTCTCTCCATGCCATCATCCCTCTAGGGCTGCCCCAGGACTGGCCCTCCCGGCCCCTTTCCTGTCTATGCATTGACAGCTTTGGTCTGTTCCATGCCCCAGCTCTCACGGTGCCGTATCCATCCCCATCCCCATCGCTGCTGGGGCCGTGCTGCTGGAAGGAGCTGAGTCCGACATTCCTCTGTCGGCCTGGGTTCGGAGCGGTGGTTTTCCAGCAGCGCTGGGTTTTGGTTTCTGTGTTGTTTTGCTGAAAAGCCGGGTGCCTCGGGGGTGAGTCAGAGCAGGCAGCAGCCCAGCAGCGCTGGCGTTGGTGGCGGGCAGACAGAGCCGGCCGATAAGGGTGCGATAGGGCCGGGCGAGCCCAGCTCCGTGCCAGGGCTGCAGGGCCGGGGCAGCTCCCAAGCCCGCTGCCTGACCTCCAGCTGCATCACTCGGAAGGAAACGGGGAGTTTAGTTTGGGAACCGCGGTGCTGGGAAAATCTGCTGTGTCAATAGCACGTACCTAAGTACTCGTGGGTGGTGTTTTCAAAAAGCCCCATTCTCCATGCCCAAAGCCCCAAGATTTGCCCCGGGAGCAGGCAGATGAGCACCAGGGGATGCTGTGAGGGTAGTGCCATCCTGGGTGCTCACTGCCTGGCAGGGGGGGACCCGTGGCCACCGTGTCCCACAGCCGCCGGGCCCCCCACGCTCGGCTCCCTTGGGGCACCCATTGGATCTGACATGTCAGCGGCGGCTGCCTCCAGCTGCTGTCCCACTCCCCACCCTCTTCCCACGATCCCTGCCTGAGCATGGCAAGAAACTCCCTTCTGCAGCCCTGCAGTTTGTGGTGTTTGCCTTGTTCTTGTTCCCACCGTGAGCAGGGTCCCTGTCCCTGTCCCCTGCATGCTGGCAGCACAGCACCCTGCTGCGTGGGATGGGAGCAGCCTTAACTCCTGGCCTTTGGGGCCAGCACCGCCTGGTTCCCATCTCGGGCAGCTCGTTAGGGCCGGCTGGGGCTTGAGCAGGGCCTGCTGGAAATGTGGGTGGGCTAAAACAGGATTAGAGGCTGTAGGGAAGGCCAGCTGCCCCGTGGTTAGCACGGGGCTGCTGCTGGCTTGGAAAAAGGGGCCACGCACATCGGTTTTTCCTCACTGTTGGCTCCCAAACCTCCGCTCCTGGCTGCTGCTGGACTGGGCCTAGGGGTCTGACAGGGACAGGTGGGCATGAGGCAGCTGGGGACAATGGTGGGGACCCTGTGGAGCCCTGTGGGCTGGGGGGGCATGGGGAGGGCTGGCAGTGGGCACCCCAAAGGAAGGCAGGGAGTTTGGGCCCTGCTCCCCAGCCCCTGGGTGCTGGGCTCCGTCCCCCTGCGCTGGGGCTCCTGAGGAAGGAGAGCGGCATGGGGCAGTGCCCGCAGGCACCCTGTGGGTTTGCTTCTCCTGTTGGGCAGTGGATGAGGGCTGCAACCCTGGTGGATGCGACCTCATGGATGGATGATGCTGGGGCACCTCGGGAGCTGCAGGGAGCCCAGCAGCACATCCCAACCCTTTCTGCTGCGTCTGGAGAGCCCCAGTGTGCTGCTGCGGGGTGGCCCCAGCATGGCCGTGGGTCCTGAAGCTCACGGGGGCCGTAGCAAATGAAGAAGGAACTGTGCAGGCACCGAGGTGATGCCATGGAGGAGCCCTGGTGACCGTGTGACAGCAAGGGGCAGGATGGTGCCCTGGGGGCCTGGTGTCACCTGCCTCTTTGGTCACAGCCCCTGGTTATGTCCTGGGGGCTCCTCAGGGCCGAGCTGTACCCCGGGCACCGGCTGCCATGCGCGGCGTGTTCCTGGGGCTGGCCGCTGCTCTTCAGGCGTGAGTGAGTGAGATCGTGAGTGAGAAACCAGCATCTCCGTCTTCAAGACAGTTGCTTTGTTTGCTGAGGAAACACGAGTTGGAAACGGCTCCGCTGCAGCGATTTCCGTAACCCCGCCGCTGCCCCTGTGCTGATTCATTGATTTGGACGGGTTATATACTGGGAGGGGAAGCGTGAACCACACTCGGCTCTCCTGCCAGCACGGAGCTGTGCTCGCTCGGCGCTCGCGGCTGCAGGACACTCGGGTAAGTCTCCTCTCTGCTGCTGGCCCCGCCAGCATCACCCTGGGCCCGCGGACCCCCGGGGCAGCTCTGAGGGGTGGGAGCGTGGCAGAGCAGTGTGCATGCTGAGCACCTTTGGATTAGATGGAGACATTTGTCTTGTGAGGGGTTCTCCAACAAACTGAGTCTGCTTAGGCATTGTGGGAGCTGATATAGTTACAGAGGCAAAGTATGTTAAATAATAACCTGTAAAGAACATGGAGCGGGGGCAGGATCAAAATTTAGGGGCCCTGCGGTTAGAGCCACCTGGATGCTGAGGGGCTAGATATTCATCTCCTCGGTCTGGAAGTTTTTGTCCCTAAAAAGAGAAAGGGAGATAAATTGTTTACAGCTGTCTTTCCTGAACCGTGCTCCAGCTTGGATGCTCTGTACGCTCGTTTAACAGGGAGTGACATGAGCAGGGCTTTTGATGTGCAAAGCGCTTGGTGGAGTTTATAAAGGGCTTGCCATAAACAAAACTGTTCTGGGATGCATATTGTTTCCATATGTGAGACACAAGCTGTGCTGGCTTTCCGAGGGCTCCTCCCTCCCCTGCAGCATCAGGCGCTTCCCCGGCGCTTTGCGCTCCCAGACCTGCCTGGCCAAGCCCTGCTCCATGCCTGGGGGAGCAATGGGTTTCCTCCTGCCTTGTGCCACTGGGAGCTGCCAGCCGGGCACCAGGCTGCTGCCCTACTCCACGCAAAGCTCCCAGGTCGGGGAACGTGCCCCTGGAGCATTGAGAGATGATGGCTGTGCTCAGGGACCTGCCCACGGCAGGGGTTTGGAGTTGGATGATCCTTAAGGTCCCTTCCAACCCATCCCAGCTGAGGCTGGTACCCGCTGGCTGGGGGCTCCCCGCTGCTCGGGGCTGTGCTGCTGGGACCAGCTCGCCGTGCTCACTGCAAAACAGGAAACCACACTCCTGCTGCTGGGAGAGCGGGCGCGGGGGACGCCAGGGATGCCACTAATAGCTGTGGTGTGGCAGCGTGGCGCCGCAGCCCTGGCTCTGCCCTGCCTGTCCCCAGCCGTGCTGGGAGGCGTGCGGCCAGCCCCGCTTCGCAGGGGGAGGCAGCACCCGTCCCTGGCGGGGCTGGGAAAGCGCTGTGCTGAGCCTCCTCCTCTGTTTTTGCCGCAGGCCCCATGGAGCAGGGAGGCTGGCGGCTGCTGCTGCTGCTGGTGGGCTTCCAGCTCGCCCACGGGCAGTGCCCGGAGCAGTGCCAGTGCGTCCGCACCGCCCAGGTGGAGTGCTCCGGTGCCGGCATCACCGCCGTCCCCAGCCCCATCCCCGCCAACGCCATGACCCTGCAGATCATCAACACGCGCATCACCGAGCTGGGCGAGGCGTCCTTCGGCAACGCCTCCCTGCTGATCGGGCTGCGCATCGAGAAGAACGACCTGTCGCGCGTCAGCCCCGGGGCCTTCCGGCACCTGCCCGACCTGCGCTACCTCAGCCTGGCCAGTAACAAGCTGCAGGAGCTCCCGGTGCAGGTCTTCCAGCCCCTGGGCAAGCTGGAATCGCTGCTGCTCTCCAGCAACCAGCTGCTGCGCGTGGAGCCCTCGCACTTCGCCCACCTGAGCAACCTGAAGGAGCTGCAGCTGCACGGGAACAACCTGCACGAGCTGACGGAGGGGGTGTTCGACCAGCTCGCCAGCCTCACCAAGCTCAACCTGGCCCGGAACAACATCGACCGCCTGCCCCCCCAAGCCTTCGAGCGGCTGCCGCGGCTGCAGGTGCTGCGGCTCTACGAGAACCGGCTCCGGCAGATCCCGGCGGGCGCCTTCGATGGGCTGCCCGAGCTGCAGGAGCTGGGGCTGCACCAGAACCAGCTGGAGACGCTGTCCCCGGAGCTCTTCGTGCACAACGGGAACCTTCAGAAGCTCTACCTCTCCAACAACCTCCTCACCGCCCTGCCTGGTGGCATCTTCCTGCCCCTGCGCGCCCTCTCCAAAATCACCCTGCATGTCAACCGCCTGCGCGACATCTCCCCGGCGGCCTTCGGCCCCATGCCCAACCTGAGGGAGCTGTGGCTCTACGAGAATGAGCTCGCCACCCTCCCCGCCGCCGTCTTCAGCAACCTCACCCAGCTGCAGCTCCTGGTCCTGAGCAAGAACCAGCTCCGCACGCTGGCCCCGGGAGCTTTCCGGGGCCTGGGTGAGCTCCTGGAGCTGTCGCTGCACTCCAACGCCCTGCGCCGCCTGGACGCCGAGGCGCTGGGAGGGATGCCCAAGCTGCAGAACATCTCCCTGCAGAACAACCGGCTGCAGACGCTGCCCCGGGGCCTCTTCGCCGCCACCCCGGGGCTGCGGCACCTCCAGCTGCACGCCAACGCCCTGGAGAACCTCCCCGCCGGCATCTTCTCCCCGCTGGCTGCCCTGCGGGAGGTGAAGCTGCACAACAACTCGTGGCGCTGCGACCAGGGCATCCTGCCCCTGCGCGCCTGGCTGGAGGCCAACCCCCAGAAGGTGGGTGAGACCCCCCCGCTCTGCGCCCAGCCGCCCCCCCTGCGGGGAGCACCCATCGCCCAGCTGCGGCAGGACCAGCTCCCGGCCACCCCGCCCGGCCCCACCGCCGGCACCCCGCTCCCTGCCCTCCCCTCCAAGGGGACATCGCCGGGGGGCACCGAGGCGAGTTCCTCCACGGAGCCACTGCTGGTTACCCCCAGGCCCCAGGAGGAGGAGGAGGAGGAAGAGGAGGAGGAAGGAGGGGGGCGCTGGGGGCTGACCCGCCTGCAGAGCGGGGTGGTGGTGGCCGTCATCGTGCTGGTGTGCGTGGCCCTGCTCTGCGCTCTGGTGGCGCTGGTGGCTTACAGCTGTAGGAAGAAGAGCCACGTCGTGCTGATGAGGATGAAGGCGCCCAACGAAGCCTGAGCCCTCGGCAGACCCTGGGGGGAGCGGTGCTGGGGGGGTGTCCCCTCCCCGCGGGGACAAGGGACCTGAGAGCTGGACGGGCCAGCATCGCCCCGCGTGCCTGTCCCCCTCTGCTGCTCTGCTTTGCCGTGTCCCTGCCCTGCAGCAGGGTGTCACCCGCTGGTGTCCCCGCGGCTGCGCTGTCCCCAGCCCCTCCTGCCTCCTGCGCAGCCCCTGTGCTCGTTCCCTTCCTGAGAGCCAGGAGCCAGGGCGCTGGGGACCACGCTACAACCAGGGGCTGCCCGGAGCAGAGCAGGGAGCCGCAGCCTGGCCATGGAGCACGGGGACCTCTCCTCCTTCACCTCACATCATCCCCTGGAGCGACGCCTGCCGCTTGCCCCACACTGCCTGTTGTCCCCTTGTCCCCTCACGCCTGCAGCCTCTGCCCGTGCCGGGGCACACGGGCACGAAGCCAGCACCCAGGGCCGGGAGCCGGGCGCACGCCTTCACCCTGAGGAAGGCAGCGTGCGTTTGTAGCTCAAAGGGCCCGGGCGGCCTCCGCTTGGCCCCCAGCCCAGCGGGCTCCGTGCCTCCACGGCGGCACAGCCGGGTGACTTGGCCGCGTCCACGCCGCCCGCCCTGCCTGCAGGCAGCACGGCGAGAGCAGCGCCCTGCCCTGCCCTGCCCTGCCCTGCCTTGGGCGGCCTCTCGGCCCCGCACGCTTGTGCTTCCCCTGCCTGCAGCGCTGCGGGGCTGCCTGCGTGCCCCAAGCACTGCAGCCCCCAGCCCTCCTGCGTCCCTGCCTGGCAAAGCTGCAGCCTCTCCTCTCCCTGCTCACACCCCGCGGTGCCCCTGCTCCGTGCCCAGCCCTGCTGGCAGCCTGAGTGGTGCCGGGGCACGGGGTACGGGGCAGCACGTGCGGCACCGGGCTGCACGGGAATGGTGCTACAGGACAAGGGTCGCAGTGGGTGTGAACCCCCTTGTGTGGGCTGCCCACGGAGCTCTGTGAGGCAGTGGTGGCACAGGCAGACCCGTGCTTGTGCGTGTGATGGGATGCTTCTTCGGGCTGGGACCTGCACGATGGCTAGAAACGTGGGACTGTGCCTTGGGGCTGTTTGGTACTGCTCTGTGATCTCCCATTAAAGCACGGTTGTCCATCTCCAGTGCCAAGAGTTCTTTGTTTGCTCCTCTGCGGCGAGTGGCATCCTTGGAATAACCCAGCAGGGACAGGAGCTTTGCTTTGCTGCCTCTCCAACGTGATTTCCTCATGGTGAGGCTGCTGAGGGTGGGAGAGGGCCAGAGGTTGTGGCTGCAAAGCCCAGGCTGGCCTGGGGTAAGGGAGGGCTTGGCTGTCCGACGGCAGCAGGATGGCTTTTGGAGAGCAAGCTGAGACCTCAACGAGTTCCCTGATGGAGCCGGAGCTGCTGACTGCCTCCTGTGCAGCCCTGTCCTCACAGCAGGGCTCTGAGGGTTTGTGCTGAGCTTCTCCATACATCACCAGCTGAGTGCACGTAAGTGTCCCTCCTCCTTCCCCAGGGGTCTCTCCACGTCCTGGGTGTGATCCCAGCCCATCCCAACCCTTGCAGGGCATCCCTCATGGGGTCGTGCATTGCTCCTCCAGGCAGGTTACCTCTCCTGGGGAGTTCAGCTGGTCCATGGGTCCCTCTGGCCACCCCACCACTGCCTGGATGCACCGGCTGGAGGTTGTGGGGCTGCAGCAAGCTGACACGCTCAGCTTGGTGTGGGACCAGTGCCACCGATGGCAGCAGGGCCTTGGCACAGCCACGGGGCACATCCAGGGCCGCGGCCCCACTTCCCTGCCAGGACACACTCGTGGCCACCAGCCCGTGCCCTGCGTGCGTTCACCTCCTGTCCCCTGGGCCGGGCTGTTTTTTGAAGCGCTCCAAGGACACGGGTTGTTGTTGCCGATAAGCAGAAAGGGGCAGCTCCGCCCCAGCAGGAACGCTCTGTCAGCTGCCTCCACATCCGCCCCACAAAACATCTTCCCTTTTCGGCGGGGCTCGCTCCTCGCTGCGGGCTCGGCAGTCCCCACGGTGGTGGTCCCCGTGGTGGTTGTCCCCACGATGCCGCTCACGGTAAGCAGCAGGGCTCAGGGGGTTTGGGATGGGTTTGTTGTGGGCCTGGGATGGGTGGGAAGTGCTGGAAACAAGTCAGGTGGCGGGACGGAGAGGCCATGCCCGACGGTGCTCCAGGGCACGGCTCTAAGTCCAACACACCCCCTGGCACAGGATGTCCCCGGTGGGTGTCACAGCAGGACGGGCACTGTCCCCTGTCACCGGGCGGCAGCAGCACGCGTCCCAGGCACGGGGGAGCTGGTGGTGGTCTGGGTGTTTCTGCTCAGCCCCTGCTCTTCCACGTACCCTCCCTTCTTTAGCAGAAGCTCTGGCTCTGAAACGTTCCTTCCAGAAGGATGTTTTCGATGGGCAATTATAAAATAACAACTGGTTGTATAAAAATACAACCAGTAAAATATAAAACCACAACCAGCAGAGCCCCCTTGGTGCGTGGCTGAGCGTAGGTGAGCCTGGTGGCCCTACAGCAGCTGATGCTGGTTTCCTCCTCCAGCGCAGGGTGATGGTCTATGTGGTGCTGGGGCTGGGGTCCCTGCTGGTGGGGGGGCTGCCCCCTCCCTGCCCCCCGCCCTGCCAGTGCTACGACACCTCCAAGGTCTTCTGCTCGGAGGAGAAGATGAGGGAGATCCCGGCGGGCCTGCCGGGGAACGCCACCCAGCTCTTCTTCGTGGAGACGGCCCTGAGCAGCATCGGGAGCGGGGCGCTGGGCTCCAGCACCACGCTCACCAAGCTGGTCTTCCTCAACAACCACATCGAGGAGCTGGAGGCGGGTGCCTTCTGGGGGCTGCCCAGCCTGGCCGAGCTGGAGATCTCAGGCAACCCGCTGCCGGCCGTCAGCCCGGGGCTGCTGGCGGGGCTGCCCAGCCTCACCACGCTCTCCCTGAGCTCCAACGCCATCCACTCCCTGCAGCCGGGGCTTTTCGCCTCCGCCTGCCACCTGCAGGACCTGCGCCTGCGGGGGAACAAGATCGATGAGCTGCCCCCTGCCATCTTCCACCCGCTCCGCCACCTGCAGGCCCTGGACCTCTCGCAGAACGTGCTGACCGAGCTGCCCGACGGGCTGCTTGCCCCGCTGGCTGCCCTCCGCGTCCTGAAGCTGAGCGACAACATGCTGGCACGGCTCCCACCCGGTGCTTTCGGGACACTTTCCCGGCTGGCTGAGCTCCACCTCGATGGCAACCAGCTGGCCGAGCTGCCCGCTGGGGCCTTCGCAGGGCTGGGTGCGCTGCGGCGGCTGCAGCTGCAGCACAACGCCCTGGGCAGCCTGCGCCCCGACGCCTTCGCCGGCCTCTCCAACCTCACCTTCCTCAGCCTGGAGGGCAACCAGCTGGCCTCCCTGCCCGCCACCCTCTTCCAGGGCACCCCGGGCCTCCTGCACCTCTCGCTGGCCCGCAACCAGCTGCAGGCGCTGCCCCCGGGCATCTTCGCCAACCTCTCGGTGGCGCAGAGCCTGGTGCTCTCGCACAACGCCCTGGCTCGCCTCCCCGCCGAGGCTTTCCAGGGGTTGGTGGAGCTGACAACGCTGCAGCTCGGCCACAACAACCTCTCCAGCCTGCCGCCGGGGCTGCTGGACGGGCTGCCCAGCCTGGCCACGCTGGGGCTGGAGCACAACCGCCTGCCCCGCCTGCCCACGGGCTTCTTCGATGCCAACGAGGAGCTGGTGCGCGTGGGGCTGGAGGATAACCCCTGGGCGTGCGACTGCCGCCTCGCCTACCTCCTGGGCTGGCTCCAGGTCTTTTCTGACCCCCTCCTCCATGTGCAAGCTTTCTGTGCCAGCCCGGCTGCCCTCAAGGGCCAGCCCCTGCGGGAGGTGACCCACAGGCAGCTGGCGTGTGCCAAAGATGAGGGCCGGGACGCGGTGCCCGGGGAGGATGCACCAGGGCAGTGCACCTACAGCAACCCCGAGGGCACCCTGCATGTGTCCTGCAATGCCACGAGCTGTCAGCGGCTCAGCCTTCGCCTTCCTCCTCCTCCTCCCAGCCAGGCGGTGGGGCCAGGGACCGAGTACCGGGGTGCCTGGGTGCTGCGTTCCTCCTGCGGCACGCTGCAGGTCAGCGTCCTCGTCATGGCGCAGGGCCCGGATGTGACCACCCCACGCGGGCTCCCTGCTACACCCTAGGACTCAGGCATATGCTGCTGCTCCTCGTGGTCATCCTGCTGGTGCAGCGGCCACACCAAAATCAGCCTGAGAAACGATGCTCTGTGTCCTGCATTGATGTCCCTGCCATGGTCACCGTCACCGTGCTCTGTGCTGGAGCTGGACTCATGGTGCCTCTTCACCCAGCCGTGCGTTCCTGTGTGTTTCAAATATTATTAAAGTGTACGTATCATTCCTGTGCAGCCTGTTCCCAAGGTGCAGAGGGGGAAGATGCCGTCTGTCTTGCAGGGGAAGGCGGCTGTGATCCCGCAGGGCTGTGGCTGGAGGCCCTGGGCCAGGCTGCGAGGGGCGCGGGTCCCTGGGGTTGCTCCTTGCTGGGTGCTGCCCTCAGGGCTCGGCACCTCGCGGAGATGGGTGCCTAAGGGAAGCATCCTGCCCTGCCCTAACGGGGTAAGTGTGTGTGTGCGTGTGTGTGACTGTGTGTGTGTGTGTGCGTGTGTGTGCACACGCGTGGGTGCGCGCCCAGCCAGCTGAACCCTTCTCCCCGACGGCGCTGCAGCCGGGGCTGTGCTGCGCGGTGCTGCTGCTCCATCTGGTGGCCGGCGGGGCTGGGGGTGACCCGGGCCGGGGAGAGCCGGGGGGGCCCTGCCAGAGCCCGGCCGCCCTCCCCCGAGCCGTCCTGCCCGGCCTGCCCACAGCCACGGGGCGCCTGGGGTGCCCCTCGAGGGCGCGCTGCTTTGCTGCCTCTCCCCACCAACTCAGCTCCACCACTACCCAGAGGGAGAGGAGGCACCAGGGGGGAGTTTTGTGTTCTCCCAGCCTGCTCCATCAGCACAGTGTGCTCAGCAGGGTCCCCGGCTGGTGCCCAGCAGAGGTGAGCCCCACGGCCAGCTGCCAGGACGGGGCTGTGTGTCTGTCCAGCAGGGCCACAGAAGTCATCACCATTATCAGCTTGAGCAAGCGGCTTCACAGCAGCACCTTTCAGCCACGTAAGCCTCTTCTCGAGGAAGGAAAAACAGGCTGGCCTGAAGATCTTCGGGCTTCCCTGGATGTGAGCAGCCGCGTGGTGCCAGCAGATAACACCTGGGGACGCCTGCGTCCTCTCCTGGGGCGCGTGGGACTGCTCCCCATGGCTCTGTGCTGTGTGCTTATCTCCTCCAGCAGCCCTGCAAAGCCAAGCCCCATGCCTGGGCGGTGGATAAAGCTCCCCAGGTGATGGGACCCCTCGTCCCCTGCCTGGCACAGCACGGTGCGGCGCTCCAGCGGCTGGACGCGTTCCCAAGCGCTCAGGCAAGTCGGGGGTGCGAAATGCTTCAAAGTGTGCCAGGAGGGTGGTTCTGGGGAGCTGCTGGTCTGTGTCCTTGCTGCTGGGGAGAGGGACAGGCAGGGACATCACAGCCAGGGTGTGCAGGGTGAGCCCCCCATGGGGGCTCCCTTTCTGTCCAAACCCAACAGCTTGCAGCCTCCTGGCTTTGCCGACCTCTCGACACTTTTCAGAAAATATCTAGGTCTTTTCAAAGCAAACTTAGCCTCCTGGCTGTAGCTTTTGCCGTGGTTAGTTTTGATGGATGCCTGAGAAGCAGCCCATGGCTCTTTCTTTTTTTTGCTGCTGGTGGATGTGAGCCAGTGAGCTCAGCTCCGAGCTGCCGGTCAGGGCCCTAAATGCTGGGTTTTAAACAGGAAATCTGCGGACATCTCCAAGTCTTTTAGAGAGCCTGGTCCTAAACTTGGTTGCTGCTTATAAGCCAATCATTTATATCTGACAAAGCTGCATAACTAATGCCAAAATATAATGTGATTAGCAGGGGTCCTGAAAAGGAGGCATTTAAAGTAACATTTTAGGTAACCCTTCGGAACTGAGAGAAGCACCAAGAGGGAGCCCACCCAGCACAGTGTGCTCCATGGAGCTGTCTGACCTGGATGGCCAGAGCAAATCCAGGGAACTGCAGCGAGGCAGGGGGAGGAGAGGAAGGCAGAGGGTGCACCAGGCATCATTGCTTCAGGGCCTCTGCTCCTGGGGACCCGGGGCAGCCCTCCCGTGAGCTTCGTGCCATCGTGAAAGACAAGGGAGGATGTGTCCTGCTTCATGGAGAGGGACTGGTGCTTCACAGCTGTGCTGGGGCTTGGCTCCTTTTTTAAAGGTACAGAAATGAGAGATTTTCCAAAGTTACATTCTGTGGGGATGCCAGCTGCTCCACAGGCTTTTTTTTTTTTTTTGGCAAATGCTGTGTAAACAAGGTCGTTTGGTCTGCTGGCTGCTGGGACCATGTCTGATCTCAGGTTTGCTGCCAGCAAGCAGGTTGCTGGTTGGTGCTGGTGATGTGTGAGCGAGCTGTGGCCCTGCTGAGTCCTGGCCCCGCTGGGGCAGCACTAAGGGGCAGCAGCTTCATCGGGACACATCTGAGCCTACAGCCCAAACAGGAATAGGATGGTTCTGAGAGCTGTGGTTGCAGGTCTTATTGTTCTTCAAATCTGACTTCTGAAACCCTTTTTCAGGACGATGTACCAGCATTTCCTTTTCATTTTCTTCCTCTTCTTCCACCCCCATAAATGCCAAGACCAAACCCCGAGTGCAGATCCATATGAAATGCCCAAGGACTACCAGGAGGTCTACAGAGGGACAAAAAACGATGTCAAAGAGATCCCCAAGATCGCAAAGCCCTTCATTTCTGAGATGGTCTTTGTGCAAACCAGCGTTACTGCCGTAAGGAAAGGTGCCTTCAGGTACATGCCCAGCCTGACCAAGATTTTGTTTATTGGCAATAAGATCAAGGCGGTTGAACCTGGAGCCTTTGATGGTTTGGAGAAACTGAGGGATTTGGAGATCTCTGGTGCCTCACTAGAAGAATTGGCCACGGGCACTTTCCAGAACCTCCCAAGCTTGCAGAGACTGGAGCTGAGGGACAGCCACATCAGCCACATCCCCAAAGGGCTCTTTGAAGGGCTGGAGCACCTGGGGGAGCTCTCCCTGCACATCAACGCCATCTCGTCTCTTCCAGAAGGTATCTTTGATTCCCTTGCCAATCTAACTTTCTTGGACCTGGCTAGGAACAAGATCACGGCTCTGCCTGGAGATGTCTTCAGCAAACTCCCCCACCTGCAAGTCCTGCGGCTGTACGAGAACGAGTTGCAGGACCTCCCGGAGGGGCTGCTGGATGCCCAGCAGGGGCTGCTGGAGCTCAGCCTCCAGAGGAACAGGCTCAGGACGCTGCCACCCACGCTTCTTATGAGCCTGGCCCACCTGGAGAAACTCCTCTTGGACAACAACCTCATCGGGGTTCTCCCACCCCAGGGCTTTTTTGGATTAAACAAGCTGAAGCTGCTGACTCTGGGTTCAAACCACATTACGGAGCTCCCCTGCTGCCTTTTTGACAGCATGCCACACCTGTGGGAGCTGGACTTGGGCAGGAACAGCTTGGTCACACTTCCAGATGGCATCTTCGTCAACCTCACGTCTCTGGGCAAACTCATCTTGTCCCACAACCAGCTGTCAGCCCTGCCGAGAGGAGTCTTCACGGGGCTCAGCAAGCTCTCAGACCTCCAGCTGGACACAAATCAGCTCTCTGCTCTTGATGACAAGGTCTTTGCTCCTCTCCCAAATCTGAAAACCCTCAACCTTCGAAAGAACCAGCTAAAGAGTGTCCCCCGGGGACTCCTGGACCCGCTGAAGAGGCTGAGCTCAGTGTATCTGAGCGGGAACCCGTGGAGGTGTGACTGCAACCTCTGTTACCTGCACGGCTGGATCCAGGAGAACAGCGAGAAGGTAAAATTGTCCACCCAAGTGTCATGCAAGACTCCACCCCACCTGGCAGGGCAGGCGGTGGCATCCCTGAGGGACGACCAGTTAATTTGTCCAGCCACTTTGCCTCCTTCGGTTTCCTTCTCCCCATCTCTGCCATTCACCTCCGCATCATCACAAAGGACGTCAGCCTTGCTGTCACCCGGAGCCTCGCCCACTGCAGCACAGACCCCGCTGCCATCGGTGACCTTTCCTGTCACGGCACTGCCAGCCGTGCCATTACCTACGGCCACCTCCTCCGTGTTGCCAACCATACCAGCTGAGGCCTTCCGCACTGCTCCGTCACCAGCCGTGATGTCTAAAGCCTCCATCATCACCCCATCATCAGCTGTGACACGGGAAGCCTCCATCACCACCCCATCACCCACTGTGCTTCCTGAGACCTCCATCAACACCCTGTCACCAACCATGTTACCCAAAACCTCCATCAAGACCTCATCACCAGCTGGGATGCCTGAGGCCTCCATCACCACCCGATCACCAACTGTGCTACCCAAAATGTCCAGCAGTGCCCCACCAACAACTGTGCTACCCAGGACCTCCATCATGACCCCATCACCAGCCGGGCTGCCTGAGGCCTCCATCACCACTGCAGCACCAACTGTGTTTCCTAAGACCTCCATCACTGTCCCATCATCAGCTGTGCTACCCAAGACCTCCATCACCAACCCATCACCAACTGTGCTCCCTAAGACCTCCATCACCATCCCGCCATCAGCTCTGCCACCCAAGGCTTCCATCCCCACCCCATCACCAGCTGTGCCACAGGAGGCCTCCAGCCTCTGCTCAACTCCAGCAGCTCTTGCCCTACAGCCCCCCAAGGCCAGTAGCCCAGATCTTGCTCTGCCCACTCTGGCTCCTGCCACCCCACCGATGCCAACCACCCCACGGGCAGCTCCCACCAGACAAGTGCCTCCTGCTCTTCTGGCACCCACGGCGAGGCCAGCACCTCCTGTACCCACCCTGCGAGGCCACACGAGTCCCCAGCCATCCTCCTCACCCACATCCCCTGGTGGGCACCACCCCAGCACCTTCTCCCTGTGGCCCAGCCCGCGGCACTGCCGCGTCTCCCTTGCCCTGGGGCTGGCTGTGCTGGCGCTGCAGGTGGGGGCCACGCTGCTGGGGGTGAAGCTCATCCTCCTCCTCCACCACGCCACCCGTGACCGTGGTCCCCCCGTGCCACCGGTGAGGCTGCTGAGCGTCCGAGTGATGGCCACCGTGAGTCCACACTGGGCTGTGGAGAGGTATCGGCGTGGTGCTGTCCCCCAGGGGTGGGTGTCGCAGGACCCAAGTGGTTTTGGGGTGCCTCCCAGGTGGCTCCCGGAGATGCTGTGAGCCTGGGGAGCCTGCACCACGGCGCTGCTGGATGGGACCTTCTGCCGAGTGACACTAGGTGGCATCCCGACACAGGCGGTGGCTTCCACAGCCTGCCCACGGACACGCGGGGCCACGGGGGGCAGAAGGGCGAGCAGTGGCCGTGGGGCACCACACCGAGGTGTGGGGGCACCGTGCCCAGCCCTGGCCGCCTCCCAGCCCCCAGGATGTGCCGGCACCGCTACGGCCACCGCAACGCTCCTGCCTCCTGTCCCCTCTGTCTCGGCTTCCTCTCTGCTGATATTAAAGCCTTCCCCGTGGCTCTGCCACGCTCTGAAGGCTGGCCAGAGGAGTGTTTTCACCCCAGGGCTGCCCTCGCTGTCACCTCCAGTGGGGATTTTCTGCCTCCTGCTGCAGCGCACGGTCCCCAGGCGGTGCCGGCGGTCAGAGACCGGGGTGGGAGCAGGTCACACGCTGTGACCCGGTGACAAAACAGAGATGCAATTTCTAAATCTTGCATCCCCAGAACCTCTGTAGGATGCTGCCTACTCTGTCCCCTGGAGGGGTGACATCCGAGTGCAGCCAGACGCTTTGCTCATATGGAGAGGCTGCCTCTGAACCCATCCCCGACATGGGCCGTTCACCAGCGTGTTGCTCCATGTAACGAGCCTTCCCCTCGCAGACCTGGCCTGGGGGCTGGCTGTGACCTCCTGTCGGGCACAGAAACACCTTCCCTGCCACTGCCACCAGCACGAGCCCAAGGAGCCAGACCCTGTGGGCTTGGAAGGCAGCAGGCAGCAAGGAGCGGACACTTCTCACCAACACAGTGCAAGAGCAAAGGAGGGGGACTGGTGCTTTGCATTAGGGTACGTGCAAGTGGCTGCACACTGGGGACCTGCACACACACCTCTGCTAAGCCTGTGCAGTGTCACGGGCTGCTCTGCACAGTCCCGATGATGGCTGTGAAATAGGGGAGGTGAGCGGGGGCAGCACATCTGCACGGGCTGCGGCGAGCGGCCCCAGAGCCTGGCACTGCGGGTAATGAGACGCAGGTGAGGGGAAGGGAGTGTTTTTCCTGGCAGCCCATATGGGCTCGGCTTCGTGCTTGATTTAGAGGGTTTGAAAGCGGGGCCGGCTGCCGGGGAGCAGACCCCGAGCACCTCCTGTGGGACTGGGGGGGGGGGCTCCTTTGGTTTGGTGGGTATTTAATGGCCCGGTGCAGTCTAAACAGGGAAGTACTTGGGGGCGAGATTAGCACAACATAATCACATCTTAAAAGGTCTTCAGAGACATAAGGCACGTCTGCTCTCCTATTAATTACTTGTTATTAATAAAGCCGGGGTCAGGCTGGACGTGTTCGCTCCAGGCACACAGGTTCCCTCTCTGCGGAGCAGAGCTGTCCTCTGCGTCTGTGGGTCCAGCAGGGTCACAGCCCTGCCGAGCTGCACACCCCATGGCCAGCATCCCTGCAGCTCCCCGGCCACGTAACGCCCCGCCAGGGCCCTGCCTTCCTTCCTGGAACACCTCCGAGTGCTGTAAAATACAGCCAGGGCTTCCCAGCGGGGGAATTTCCTGCTGTGATTGATTTCCAATTTGCAAGGAAAATACAGGGCTGGCCCCACCGGCTCGCAGGCAGCAGGCAGCTCCCGGTAGCTCCCAGCCAGGCTGTGACAATGACAGGGCTGTGGCAGTGCCCAGCCCTGGGGGCACCGTGCCCAGCGTGTCCTGCAGGCCTTGTGGCTGCTGGGCTGCACCTCGCTGTGGGGGAAGGAGAGGCTTCCCCCGACACGTCCCCTGCTACAGGCAGCCCAGGCATCCCACAGTGGGACAGTCACTGCACCGGGCAGCTCCCGATGATTTTTTCATCAATTAATTAATTTTATTTTTTTTTCTGAACACAGAAAATGTTTTAGCACAATGCAGCAGCACAGTGCGGCAGCACCGCCCTTTGCTCTCCTCCTGCTTTCTGCTCTCTTTGCACTTGATTCCTCTGGTTCTCCGACTGGAAAAAAAGTGCTGAGCATCCCCGTGCAGCATCTGCAGGCTGCTGGCAGGTCTGTAAACCTCTTCCTCGTTGCTGTAACTGCCTGAGCTCCTTGCTAAAGGAGCTCAGTTGACTTGCTCAGGCGACGAGCAGTTCGAAGCAGAGACTGAACACTCTGCATGCCCCTGAGCAGCGTTGGACCCACAGATCCCCAGCATGGCCTGGGGGCCCCGCAGCCCTCGCTGGCCCCATTCCTGCTCCGTGCAGAGGAGATGTGGGCCCTGCAGTCTCCTTATCCCATCACTGTGGGTGCAGTGCCCTGCCCCTGCCATCTGCCTCGGTCCCCGTGGTGGAAACGTGGGGACCCCAGAGGGCAGGAAGGGGCCCCTGGTGTGACAGCCCTTTCTTGTGGCTGGCAGGAAGGGGGCAACAAACACCTGCACGGGGGGAATTTCAAAATAACCCCAGCCCCCGTGGGCAAGTCCCACTGCTGCTGGTGCTGGGAGCCTGCCCCTGCTGTGGCTGCGGCTCCCTCGCCACGTGCCCACCCCGTGCGCCCACCCAGCACGTGCAGTGTCCCCAGCACGGGCTCCTTGGCCTCGCACCCCTGCCAGAGCCTGAGCTGCCCTCCGAGCTGCTGGGGCAGCGAGGGGATGCCCAAGCACTGGGACCAGCCCACGCTCTGTGCAGGGTTTGGGCATGAGAGCGGGAGCGAGGCAAACCGGCCGGCACATCCTCCCTTGGGGCAGCGGGAGAGCCGGAGGGGCGGAAGCTGCCTATTTGTTTAAGGTGCAAACAAGTTATGTTAATCTGCTGCCTGTTTGTATTTCTTTAGAGCGCCCGTGTGAGAGGGGAGCGGAGATGGAGTCTCCCCTTTGTGCGGGGGCACGGCCGTGCCGTTTGAAGTGGAGGTGAGAAAACACAGAGGGGCAGATGGAACCTGCTTTTGGAGTGAAAGATTTTTTTCGGCTATTTATGATAATTAGTGGGAAACGCTCCTCAAGCGTTTCAGATGATTCTGTAATGAAGTTGGGCCGAATGTTCCCGCTTTGTTCCCGGGGAACCATTAAAAATCCCCCTTCTTTGGCCGCCTTAATGCAATGCTGAAAAGGCACAATGGCATAAAAGTCGCCCTGGGCAGGGCGGAACGCCTCCTTCCCCCGCGAGGGAGAGCCCTTTAGAGCCCGGATTTTCTGGGTTATAAACCCCAGCGCTCGCAGTGTTCGTGCGAAAGCTGCGGGCCCTGCGGCCGGGCGCCTCTGCATCCCTAATGCCATGGGGTGTGTGTGAGCCGGGGGGACAAAGGCTGAGACAAACCAACAGGGATGAGAAGAGCAGGCACAGCGAGGGATGCCATCGCTCGGCGTGTTTAGGAAAGCTGCCCCTGACTGGGGCTAGGGTTTGGCTGCGAGGGGCAGGGGACTGGCACCTGCAAGGTGGGGTCCAGCCCCCAGGAGAGAGCCCTGAGGTGCTGGTGGCCAGGGCCAGACCCTGTCCTGGGGATCCTGCTGGGGCCACCAGGCCCCCGGTCACCTAAATGAGGCAGGAGGCATCCAGTGTAACCCCGGGGTGCTCAGTGCCAGGGAGCGAGGCCTGGCCAGGTCTCACCATGCTTTTAGCTCCTCCAGCATGAGTGATGTCGGGAGGAGGCACCTGCCTGAGCTCCCACATCCCTGGGGATGATGCGCAAGGATAATGCGAGCCGTCCTGCTGAAGTGATGACAGAAAGGGAACGTGCCAGGAGCTTTTAGCATAATGGTCAGGGCTGAACGCGACGGTGGGGGTTTAAGTGTCCCATCAATATTCCCTTCTCACTGGCAGCCGCGCTGCTGGGGCTGGAGCAGCTCCCTGCCAGCCGCCCCCGTCTCCCCGCGCCGCCCGCCCCGGCCCTAATCAAGTTCTCCTCTCAGCCTGTGTCCCGTGGGGCCCTCGCTGCCTTCAATGAGGGGAAATTTGCAGACAAATTTCTGCCAGCAGGACGCTGGAGCTCTCCTGCGTGGCGGGATAAAGATCCCTGCGGCCTCCGCACGGCCCTGCCGAGGGAGTGTGTCCGGGCAGCCTGGGGCCGGTCACTGGGGGGTGTGGGAATAGGGCCGCAGGCTCTTTGAGCGGGGCCATTCTTTACCTCCAGATAATGCACGGCCTGCGGCGGCACCGCGACACAATGAGCCCATCTGTGAATAGGCTGGAGCTGTTACCTCCGGGTTCCCTTACGGCAGGGCCTGGAGTGCCACTTGGGTTATGATGCCTTTGCCAATACCTGTGTGCCTCCTCAAGGTCTTTTTGGGGGAAATATCTCTAGATACACGGTGCATTTCCTCTGGGGACTGGGGTGTACGTACTGGGGTGCTTGCTGGCCCTGGGGATGGAGTGTTTTGCTGGTGCAGGTTTGCAGGTGAGGGTGACAAGAGAGGCACGGTGTGGCTGGTTTTGGCAGCGGGGCACAAGGAGCACCAAGCCCCACGCTGAGCCAAATCGCTGTCTTTGCAGAGCTCACCATGCAAAACTGGGTAGCTCGGTGCCCAAAGGCACCAGCCTCAAGCCCGTGGCTCCCTGACCAGCACCTTGTGGCCAGGCACAGGCACACAGCAGCGCTGCCCAGTTTGCTTTTTGCAGGCGATGGTGACACCACTGGGACCCACCATGCCCAGCAGTACAACCGCCAGCCCTGCCAGCACACCATCCCCTCTGCCCCCTACCCCACCCTTTATTATTTTTCCTCATTTATAAATCCATTTTTGCATTTTTTCCTCCCGGCCATCCGTCGATTCCTTTCCAATCAGCCACTTCAGCAGCCCAGGTAGGCGCGGCGGCGCGCTCCCGACCTTTCCCAGCGCGGTCCCCAGGGGCCGGCAGCACGAGGCGGGCGCACAAAGGCACCGCGGCGGCCGCGGCGCTGACCCTGCCGTGCCACAGCTACCTGCTGCTCCGCCACAATGGCCCCGCGGCCCCGGCCGGCCTGCCGGGGCGATGAAAAAGGGCCCGAGATAATAATGAGGCTGGCTACCACTGCTCTCTTCAGAGAGCCGAGTCAACTCCTCGGGAAGAAAGGAAAAAGGAAAAAAAAAAAAAAAAAAGGAAAAAAAAAAAAAGAACCCCCACTCTTGGATAATAAAGAAGTAACAAATGAAGAATGAAAGCCTATAGAAGGCGTCTTAACCCAGCGAAGAAAAAAAATGTCAACATCTGTGGAGCTGTCTGCAAAAACAGACCGAACCCCTAATGAATACCCTCTAGAAAAGGCATTCAGTCGAGGAAAGGCAAAAGGCTACATTTTTCTATGGAGGTATAAAGATTTTGATGAATCTGCCCTTTCCCTTTCCAGTGCAGTTGAACCAAGCGCTAATGTTCATCTTCAGCTGCATTAAAGGATCCGGAGGGGGGCGGAGGGGGAAGAGTCTTGATCTGAAAGCTTACGAGGAGGGTGGATTTAGGGAGCCTGGATAGATGTCTGAGCACTAAGGCAAGGAAGAAAAGCAACAGGCATTAGAGAAAACACTGTTTAACAAGAGTTTCTTTAGTCAGCCCATTTGAGCAGAGATTGGTACGCCATAAACGTAATCCTCTTAGTGCTGACTTAAACGTGTTTGTACAAAACAGGGAAATATAATATGAATGTAATAGTCACGTTTACTAAAATGCTTAATAAAAAGACAAAAGTTCTTTATTTTGATCTTCGGCTCTGGTGCAGGGTGGGGGCACAGCAGATGTTTCCTCAGAAGGCTGCTTGGGGAAAAAAAAAGCCATGCAGAGTGCGGCTGTGCAGCGGCTGCGCTGTGCCACGCTGTGCTGGGCTGTGTCTTGCTGTGCCGTGCCGTGCTGTGCCATGCTGTGCTGTGCCGTGCTGTGCTATGCCATGCAGTACCATGCCATGCCTTGCCGTGCCATGCTGTGCCATGCAGGACCGTGGCTCCTGCACCAGGCTGGGTGCTGACGGGTCATCCCTTTCATCACCAGCCCCAGACACAGCCGTGGTGGCTCTGAACCTGCAGACACCCAAGGAGCAGCAGGTGCTGTGCCTCATGTGGGAAGGTGCAGGCAATTTTCCTGATTGCCCCCTGAGGCTTTGCCATGACGCTCTGTGCAGCACTCGAGGATGTTCCCCAGCTGGGAATGTTGCACCTCCTCCCAAGGGCAGGGCTGAGCTCGAGCTGTTGTGCAGGGACCACGACAGCCACCCCGGGTGCTGCCGTCAGCATCCCAGCCTTCGTGCTACTGGCAGGCTCAATTTAAGGACAGTCGACTCACTTTTGAGCAAAATGTTGTGGCTTTTCCCCACAAATTAGAACAGAAGCAATGCAGTTTCAGCTGGAAATGTTTGCTGTGCTGTTGCACAACCACTGTTTTTGCTCTGAGCACAGCCTGCCCAGCCAAACGAGTACAGATGCCCTCGCGCTGCTGCAGCGCTGCAGTCGGGCTCGTGCTGTCTGAGGCTCCTGCCGTGGGAGCTCTCCACCCTGCGTGCCACCTCCGACGTGACTCAGTTGCTGGAACAACTCGTGTCAGCTGTCTCCCCGTAAGGCTGCCTGTTGGGACCGCAGGGGAAATGTTTGCCAGAGCTGCCCGGACATTTCCCAGCAGAGTAAGGCTCCCTTCAGAAAGCTGTTCCTCTGAAGGCAAAGGCCGAAGGTAACAGCTTCATTTCTGCAGAATAATCATGGAAAATGCTAAACTGAAAGGTGGAGTTGGGTTTGACATAATTTCTAAGCTTTTGATTTATGTTGATACTCGACAGCTGTAGTGGCTGATATAAATATGTTAGATATTTATCACCTGCCCTGGTGATACCTTACTTTGTGAAATGTTGGCAACACAGGGACACAGTCAGCTCAGCTTTCCAGATCTGATAGTTAAACGTTTCTATCCCACAGCACAGCTACCTCCCAGACCTTTCTCTGCTCTGGGACAAGGAGCAGTGGTACAGCACCGGGTGCCTCACGTGCTAGGGCTGAAAAGGGCATTTCCAAAACCGTCCGAGGTCAGCCCGACCCCGGCTCGTACTGGCAGCCCGGTGGGTGCGTTTCATTGCTCACTGCTTGTTCCTTGCACCATGTATGGGCTAAAACAACATCTTTTCCTCCATCTTCTCACCCCAAGAGGGCAGCCGGCTGTGTTTCCTGCACGCTGGGATGAGTAAGGCCACACGATGCCACCTCCGAGAGGCGGAGGGTGCTATGGGGACAGTTTGCTTGGCAGAAAGTGTCAGGGCAAACTAGGTAAAACTGTGTTTTCTAACAACAAAAAAAAATCCACTCTAATAGGAAAAGGAATGCCCCAGTCATTTTGGAAGCACATCAGATATTTTCTGGTACAGCCCACAACGTGTGCAGCGAGGACGAGGCATTTTCCGTGGAGAGCAGATATTTTCCACAGCAACAACATTTTTTTGGTTGTTGTTTAAAAACCAGACCAAAACAACAACAGACCACAATCTGCCTCCCAGTTAGGCAGAAGGAGAAAAGCTTTGGGAGCAGATATTTCCTGCCTGCCCGCGGGGGCTTTGGAGACCGGCTGGGGGGGGCATGCTGTAACACCAGGGCCACGCAGCTCCCGTGCAGGTCTCTGTGTGAAAAGGTGAAAAAAGATGCTAAAAAGACCACCAAAAATAGTGCATTTGTGGTGGTGAGAAGAAAGGAAATGGGTTAATTGTCTGGGTTGCTGTCAGGTCTCCTGGAGGCTGCTCATGCACCCAACTGGCCAGAAAGTCCCCCAGCCCTGCGGGTACCGCCAGCATCTCCTGGGTGCCTCCTCCTGCTTGTCCTGTGCCTGTTTTTTTCTCTCTCTGTTGTCCTCAGAGTGACAGCAGAGCCTCCAAGCCCCCTGTGTTCCCTCCCGGCACACCTGGATCCCCAGCCCCGTGCGCGAAGGGCGCCTTTCTGCACGGCAGCATCGCTGTTGTAACGGGAACGGCGCGCTTTACAGCCCCATAAACCCCACATCCTTCTGTGCAGCCTGCTCTTACGTGACGCTAATGCTTACAAGATGTGCAGCACTGCGGGACGGCCCCGGTACCCCACACCACAGCAACCAGCTCGCGTTGTACACAGCTCTGCGCCTGCAGCCCTTGCTAATGAGTCCCAGGGACAAGCCACCCGCTATCGGCAGCCCCGCTGTCCCTGCTCGCGTGCCTGCTCTCCATGCACCATGCCAAGTGCCTGCTGGGGGGGCTGAACTGGTGTGCCCTGCGTGTCCCGGTGTGTCCTGGTGTGTCCCGGGGTGTCCCAGTGCGTCCCAGCTCGTCGGGGTGCGCGGGCACCGTGGGGCCACGGCATTGTCTGGCACGGCGTTGTGATCACGCAGCGCGGCTAACGTGATTTACATCCCATATTCGACCTCTGGCGACTTCAAAGCTCCGGCGAGCAGGGGATTAAGCAGAGGGGCTGGGGCTGGGGGTCCGGGGGGAGCGTTCACCTTTGAGCTCCCCGCGTCCCCTCCCCACCGTGCCCGGGACAATCACCTCCCTTTGTGCTCCTGGGGAAAGCCGGGGTGCAAACACAGGGACCTTGTCAATATTGGTTTTTGAGAAGACTTTTTTCTATTCTCCCACGTCTGGAGTTTTTGTACCAAATCCCCCTCGGGCTGCCCAGCCTTCCCCTGGGAAATCGGGATCCCAGGGGTCCCCGCTAACACCAGCCATTGATTGAAATTTCACACCCACCTGTTTGCACACAAGATTTAATTTGGCCGATTCTTCATGCCCTTTTCCTGCTTAATCATCAACCTATTGACCTTAATATTAAAAGGGGCTAAGGACAAGGGAGAAAGAGAGAGAGAGACTGTGCTTCTGCAAGGGAACAAAAGCTTCCGGAGGCTAAATCAGCCCTGAGCCCTCTCGGTGTGCAGGAGGAGCCGGACACGGGGTGCACCACATGAGGCATCGCTGCGGCACTCCTCTTCCTCACCGCCCACGAACTTGGGCTGGGATGGAGTTGGCAGCAAATCTGCACATCCTCGGCTGGGTGTGAGGCTGCCAGCAGGGAAGGGCTGACCCAGCCGTGGGGCTGAGTCCTGAGACAGCATCCCTGGGGGCCCAGCTGCTCTCATGCTCCGCTCTGTCTCCGATCCTGGAGCACCCGGGTGGGGAAGGGGAGATGGGAGCAGGAGGGAAGGCTCTGGGAGAAGACAGCTTTTAATCAGCCCCGGGGGAGAGAAGACAGCCTTTAACCAGCCACGTGGATGGGAGGGTGGGAGGGTGGGACCCTCCATCCCCGCTGCTTTGCTGGCTGGATGTACAGAACCCCCTCAGGCAGCGCGTTGTGGGTAGAGCTTCAGGAGGTCTCCACACTTGCAGCTGTAATTTGCCTGCTGGAAAACGAAAAAAGAAAAAAGGAAAAGGAGCTTTGTTTTTTGTTTCTTTTTTTTTTTTTCCCCTGCCTGTCTTAACCGAGGTGAAACCCGAGCCGTGTGGGAGCCTGCAAGCGTGCGTGGCCGTGCACACACGTGTGCGGCGAGCAGCCCGCTTCCTGCGCCCCGGCCGTGCCGTGCCGCAGCGGCACGCCTGTGCGTGCGCATGTGTGCTCCCCCCCGGCGGGACTGTTTTGGTCTGCAGAGTGCGGTCGTGTTTATTTAATATCTGACGTCCCTTCTGTCTTCAGCGCTGACATTAATTGCCAGACAATGAGCAATGGAGCCCAGATGTTCCCCGGCGGTGGCCTCCCTCCCCTCGCCAGCGCTGCGCGGGTGATAAAAAGCCAAGGGGGAGCCGTGTTTTGAAGGCTGCTGCTGCAGCGCTGCTGGTGAGAGGCAGCCGAGGGCTCTGGCACGCAGGGAGGTGGCTCGGCCCCCCCAGATGGGGCTGCCCAGGAGGTCGAGGCCCCCTCGGAGCCCCCCCGTGCTGCAGCCCAGAGCAGTGCATGGGCATCAGGGCCCGGGGCTGTGCCAAGTGCTGGCGCTGTGGCTCAGGCTCGCCACCGAGCTCATGATTTTCTTGCCCGGGGGGTGAGCCCCAGCGGAGGAGAGGCAGGCTGCCAGCTCCTCCCCAGCGCCCACCTGCCCTGGCTGTTGCAGAAGGCTGGGGCCGGCCGCTGTGCGGCTAGCACGCTCCCCGGGGAGCACGGCGAGCCTCGCTTGCCAGCGAGAGATTAGCACGGCCGTCTG